CTCCTCGGGCCGGGGGCGGCGGGGCCGCGGCCCCTTCGCCCGCCCGCCGGGCAGCACCGCGGCTCCGGGGATGACCCCGCATGTCCCGATTTTGCCTCTGAAAACCGGCACATTGTTTCCAGAGTGCCCCCAGAGCACAGTTCGCTTGTTGCTGTTGCCTTCTAAAACCTTTCGCTTTGAAGCCGTCGTGCTGCTTACATATTTAGCAGCTGGAAAAATCAGGCCTACTTGTTTATCTCGTCCTCCCCAGCAGGGAAAAAAACCGAGAAGAAATAGCTCATTAATAATATTAAAGAGACTGATGCATTAATACAGGCCAAAATGAAGAACCTGGAGCAAAGTGGGTTTTTTGTGTTACCTGAAAAGCAGCTCTGATATGTGGATAGGTCCCCTTTTAAAACATTTGAACACTAGAACAATAGAATATAAATTAAACCTGGGGTGATTTATTTTGGTTAGCTCATTTGCACGTGTAATTTTATGACTGATACTTTTTTTTCAGAAGTCTAAATTACTGTGCTTGCAAAAACCCAAGTGCAAATTCAGAGCTGGAAACAAATCTGTCATAGAACAAAAATATGGAGCTTGGTAAAACATGGAGCTTTGGGTGTAGAGCATGTGCTTGGGTAATGGAAGGAAAAGCTCCGATTCTTGCCACGACTGAAAGCCCACCAAAAGGTGGAACCTCATAGTTTCTTCCCAGTTTTAAAAGTGACCAAAAAACCAACCAGCTTCAAACCATCATGACAGTGAGAGACTTTCTCTACTGCACTATGGTTAGAATACACGACCTAATAGATTGATTTAAAATCACCTTGGAAATTTCACAAATAATTTGGTCTCATTAAACTCAGGAGTAAAATATTTACTGATTCCCACAGGATTGGGGTTTCATCTTTGTCTGCTTACTGATACCACATACCCCGGTATCTCTGTCTCGTAGAATAAATCTGAGCAGTTCTATTGATCCAGTCAGTCACCTTTATTCACCTGTTCAAGATGTTTGCAGAATCCATATTGAGAACTACAGAACCAGGATTCTTTGCCAAAAATACAGGGTTTTATACAAAAAAAAATGTGGTGCTGCCACAGTTTGGGAAATGTGTTTAATGTTAGGGTGCCTGTAATGTAAATAGCAGATTTATTTTCTCATGACTTTTTGGAGATGTTCAGATCAATGCCATTATATGGATGACAAATGCATGGCTTCCATAGATTCTGATATTCTGCCTCCCCTTATGAATTCAGGAGTTACCACTAAAACCTGAAAGGATTCCTTTTTGTTAGTCACTTCCTCCCCCTTAGTAACAAGTGGAATAATTAGATGGTTTCCAAAACTCTTCAGTACCTCTGATGTGTGTCAGGTAATGTCTGAGCACTCTAAATGCATGAACTTCTGTGTTGACAGTTGATGGTCCTCCATATGCTGTCACTAGAAGAACAACTTCCCAAGAATATGCAGTGTAATAATATGCAATATATAAAGGTAATAACAGCTCTAGAAAAGTAGGAATCGTGACAGTTGCAGAAATAACCTGCTGTCAGATGGAGATATTATTATTAGGACACAGAGAGGTAGAACTTTTGTATCTGTCCCAGTCCTACATTAAATACTGAGAAAAACAGGATATGTTCTAAGACTGAGGCTTTCATCTGGTGGTTGACAAGATACTGGGGGACTGGAGGTTCTTTTTAAAGAGCTTACCAGAACTAGCAGAGAAAATGAGCCTACTGTCAGGAGAAATAAGTTCACATCTCCATTCAAAAACATTCAGAAAAATACTGTGAAAAACCCCAGATGAATGTCGTTACTTTTGGTGATCAAGAAGTGAGAATCAGCATTCAGAACTGGTAGCAAGAGGGGTGGGAAGTGCTTCAATTTGCAGCCAAACCTTCAGATGCTAGTCAGGAAAACTGGAATGACAGACTTGATCCTGAAAAAAATTCATTCTGGTCTACTCACTGTAACCTGCTGTAGTCAATTCACATCACCTAGGCTTGCAAATATCTTCCCCATAGTATCTTTCAACATTAAAGGAAATTCTGCTTATGCTGGGAGTTTGAGATTAATCTTTTTGTCAGATTGTCAACTCAAACCTGTTAAATTTATGCAGTGCTTAATGAAAAAGTGCCAGTGTTTTATTACAATACACATAGTAA